ACCGAAGATTTCTTGCATGGGGCTGAGTTCGTTGGAAAGGTGCAGACCAAATCCGCGGAATGGCCGATGTCAGACTTTGCGATTGGAACGATTTTGCACCAATTGCAGGAGCGACGGGAGATTTACGAACTGATGGCGCCGAATTATCGGTGGTCGGCGGTGTAAATCTCCCGTCGCTCCTGCAATTGGTGCAAAATCGCTCCAATCGCAAAGTCTGACATCGGCCAATAACAGAGTGGGTAAAGATGCACATGGGTGAATTCATACCTCACGGTTTAGGTGGTATTTAAGCAGGACATATATTGATTCCGAGATTAGGAGATACAACTAAACTGCTTAGATAAGTAGTGTTTTATCTGGCTGGAGACTTTTAATCTCCTATTCTCCCAACAAAGGGATTAAAGGAACGAAACTAGTGCAGGTCTAAGGGCCTGTGCCATTTCTTCTACAGCACTATCACCTGGAAACTATGCCTCGTAAAGACCTTCAGCCATACTTTACATTCACTCTAAATGCTGCCAGCCCATCTCTGCATAACCAACTATTTGTGTGTTTGTCAGGCTCCACTTTCCGTAGGCATCTCTCTTTAATGGTCAGTGTGGTTCGCAAGCCTCCATCTGTTCACCTGAAGCCGGCTATGCCTCGCTCTGCTCTAACGGCTTATACCCCCTTTCCTCCACTAAAGTTTATAAGTTGTATTCGTAGTTTTGCCACTACTTACAATTCGGTTATTTGTTTGAATCGAAAAATCGGACCGTCGTATCGAAGCGTATCCTGCATTACACTCGAACCGCAAACGAACTTGTAAGTTGTCGCTGAACTATAAATGCTTGAGGGATCTAGTATTCTGATTACTCCTCGCTACCGTTTCATAGTAGCCCATTGGAATAGGAAATCAAATGCATATCTCAAATGGTGCAACACATACGAGAGATAGCAGAAGCCTTTTTCAACTACATAACTTTTTTGTATGTCGTATTTTCAACAGTATATCTCTCTGTGCACATATTAGTATACGTGAAGGCTCATGCTCGTTTATTCTCACTGTTGAAGAGAATGGCTGAGTGACATTTAGTGGGCACGTCTTGCCATATGACAAGTCATGTAGGAATGCACGAGTTGTCGACTCTCACTAAAAGCTACCATTTTAATATCCTTCAGCTCACATGTATGGTGTTCCTTTTACGGGAATTCAGTATGAGTCATGTTTCTTTTTGATTGTTGAAATCAGAGAGTGCTCAGATGTGAATCAATTGGGGGTATATTTCACAACTCTTTGTTGTTCCATTTTCCATGCCATAGTGACACAAGATTTTTTTTCCACGAAGAATCCATCATTGTAGCAAAATAATCACCTTGATCGGGAAAAAAGAGAATCTAGGGATCAAAGAACAACGTTCCTTTCAGCGAACTACTTGAATCTGTTTACTAATATTTACGTCTGAATCTCTCGTAGGGACTGGTGGAATCGCTTTACAGTTCTTCGCCACACCTGTCCTACAGGTGTCCCGCAGGTTGTGATGACAGGAAAGTTCTTGGGTTTCATCCAGTAAGGGGGGGGGGGCATGTGGTGTGACAGTTCTTGCCGGCTACAGAAATTCCAATTTTTGCAAGGGGAGGGAATCCCCGGGGTGCGTGAACCATTTCGCTTAAACTTTTACACCCACCCCGGAGCTTCCCTCCCTGAAAAGAAAATTACTTCATGCAATATGAACTGTCACTGCACATGCCCCTTACTGGATGGGACCCAAGTTCTCTTTGGTGGGGTAGTTTTTTCCCTCTTAAATGGTACTCCCGTGCCTTCCTTTTTTTTCACACTTAGCACCTTGAATCGCTTGCGGGAAAGCTGTTCAGTGTTGGCCAGCCTCGAATTTCTTGCATTAGCCTTGTCTGTAACCTTTGTCTTCAAATTTGATCTAAAGCTAAAGCTTGAAAAGAGCATTCTCGGGTTTGAATATTATTGGCTTATTGCACAAGTAGCTTGGGGCGGAGTTTCCACTCGGTATCCTACCTACTATGATGTGCTTCATCTGTTTGTATTTTGGACTACATATTCGCCTGCCTAACTGTTTCATGCGTCACAAAATCCGCGGTAAAAAAATTGTTTTAAAAAATCATTTGAAGAGAGAGGGGCTCTATTCTCGTTAGAGGGGGCATCATGATGCAGTTTTTCCAGAAAGCTAGGGTAACTCCGAGAGGGGAGTGTAGCCAGTCTAGGGGGGTGAGGGCAGTCACTTGACATGCGTGAAAAGCTGGAATGTTCGAGTTCACACTAGTTCGCCGAGAAGCTGCATCATGATGCCCCCTAACTGGCTATTTGCTTCTAGAAAGTGTGTTTTTTATAGAATTTTTGGTGCTTTTTATAGTAAAAGAAGCCGCCATAACAAAATTAAATGTTACCAGTACAATTTTAATCAAAAAAAGGTAAAACAAAAAATAAGTGTAAGTTTACCATTAATTATTCTTTTGACTTAAAGCTATAATTAAAGTTATCAGTTACAAAACAAGACTGCTTTTTTTGATCATAAATTACATACCTCCTTTTTTGAAACCGAACAGTGAGCAGCCAAAGATTTTGAATCGCTCACGGGTGTACTCCTACTTTAACATTTTTTTAGACTAAGCGGAAGCCCGCTCTTCTTTGGCAGAACGCCCCGTAAGTGTTCGTTTCTTCTAGTCTTTATGGTTAGTTCTGGGAAGGACTAGAGGCCGGGGAACAGTTGATAGAGGTTTAGTAAGAAAGGGGGCACGCATAGAAGTGGGCGTGGCTAGGATCTCATTATTCCTTTCTAGGCGATCTAAACATCAGAAGAAATCATCAGTAGTTACCGAAGGAGTAGAGGTGAAATGATAGTGATGTTTGAATTTCAGTTCAAGAATTCTCGTCTTTTCGTTCCATATCACCAAGGAGTCGTATTGTGCGCGCGATCACTGTAATATCGAACTGCAAAAAATTGGAGCATTCGTCGCTGCTGGATTTCTTTCTGTCATGTGCCGCGCATACTGTCCACTCACACTCGGAGTCTTGGTGTTATTTGTATGCTACTTGACCAGTACGATGATCTGAGGGGTCAGCCGGTGTATAAGTTAGATTTTCACCTTCGCAGGCAACTATACTGATTAATTTAGGGAAGGGAGGAGGGGGTGATGGCTTGGATGGTGTAGGATTAAGGTCATTTTGATCCTGGCGCATGGTAAGCAAGCCATTTGCTGCTACACTACGTCCGTCCTTCCTCCACATACGATTATTAATCTTACATTCGAAAACGAAAGTGAACTTATGTTTCACCTCATGCGCAGTAGCGGCGCCGCGTACTCTAGTGCCATTGCGTTAAGGTGTAATGCAGTCCCAGGATGGCAGTTTCTTCGAAATTCTTCAAAATTAACATTGGTGTTAGCCACCTGTGCCTGGCACCAGTAACTCTCAACGGACACTGACAGCACTCGGGCAAGATTTTTTATTTCATTATTCGGCTCTTTAATGACGTAGTAAGGCAAGGCATTTACATTGTACACTTTGTACTACACCAAAACGTTTTGGTTTTTCTTTTTTGTGCAATGTTATGCGCAAACTCGTCAAGGTTTGGTCGCAATTTCCAGATTTGAATCCTGAAAGCTCGCCAAATAGGCCTGTCGAGTTTTTAAAAGCTTCCGTAATATTTTTGCATCTCCTCAGTTAAGAGTGTCGAAGTGGAAGATTGTAACACATGAATTGTCTAGATCTGGGTCATATTCAGAGTAGAAAGAGTGGAAGGCTTCTTCGAAAATAAGTGTTTGCGAGATTTTTGAATGGGAACTTCGCCAGTTTCCTGAAATTGTTGCAAGCCGCAGAAATCCTATCAAATGCTGTCTTTGTGTTTTATGACAACCAGAACAGATTATTTCACGAATTGGCAACCAACTGTTCAAAGCTGTTGTTTTTAGCTATTTTCGTCGAAACAGCTGCCAACATGTTGTGTCTAAATATCCAAGAGCTTCCTCATCCTCTCTTATTATTTTTTGCAGTCGTAAATGTTGGAAAAATAATGTACAGAATACTTAAACTTGCACTTTCCACTAGTAACGTTCACATTCCGAAAGTTTGCAGAGTACTAAAAATTTAATGTTGATTTCAGCAGAGGGGAATATCTTAATACACCATCCCTCACCCATCTTAGTGATTTTAAACAAATTTCTGGCGTTTTTGAATGTCCTGGGTCCAAGCCACGGCGTATATCAATTCTACCAGACGCAAAGTTTTGATTTTTGTCGACAATTACCGAACAACGTCTACGTGATTCAGTCAGCGTTCAATTGAATGTATTAGTGAGCAGTGGTTTTCAGGCTTACTCCTAATAAATTAAAGTTATCATGATGAGATTTGTAATAGATGTTACATTATTATTTCGATTAGATAATTAGACCCACAGCTTCTTCGAAAATCATGATTTTCACATTCTTTTTTTTCCTTTTGTAAGGCTGCTTATTACCAAAAGTTCGATATCCGATGATCGTCGATTGAACTAAAGCGCACCATTGTAGAGGAACGGCCTTGCTGGTAAAATGAGGGCAGATGTCTCCCTCAACCATTGCTAGCCGTGTTACCGTCGTTCCAACCAGAGTTCATAAGGTCAAATAAGGTTTACGGTTCCCTCCAGCAGATTGTATTTGGTTATTGCAACTGCAAATTCATAGCATTTTCTTGCAACCTTTTCCCTCTCTCCATTCGTGTGCTTTTTCTGCTTTGGCAACTTCCCAATGTATGGCATTTTTGATTGGTTTCGCGAATTCAGAATACATTATGAAGGTGAATTTCACTCGTTTGTTATAAGATGGGGGAAAAGCAACCATTTACAAGCCGTCAAGCTTTTTTGTGGGCACATACGAGTTCGTGATCAGAAACTATACTTCAAGTTTGTAAACTTTTTATTCCTGTTGAATTATTTTTACCACAATCTGATATTACGGGTTATCTCATTTCAAGCAGCTTCCAGTGTATTTATCTGTCTTTGAAGGACTCATTTTCAGTCGCAAAGGAACGTGGCGTTGAGGTGACTCCGTTTGCAGACCATCAACTTTCTTGGTCTGCTTGCTCTCCTCTTTGTTCAAGTAAGTTATTATGTTATTTTCTTTTTCAGAAAGTCTATACTAATTTGTTTTGAGAATGATCCGTTGTTTTGTCTTGTGTCATTTGTGTTTGTTTGTTTTTTTTTGTCTATGGTTCACTTGCTCTGTGAGTAGGTGTCCTAGTGTAAAAGCCAGGTTCAGCTTTCGAAAAGGCAAGGGCCGAAGAAGGGTGATTTTCCGTATTCCCATACAGTGTTAATATTGAACGAGAATTGGCTCAAATTTTATCGATTGCTTGTGGATTTATAGCTTTTGCCTACTTCTCCCTACAATATTTCGGTCGCCCTCCTGTTAGATTAATGAGATTCATTTTGCATATGTTTGATATGAAATTAATTATGAGCCTTGACTCAAGTGCACTAGAAGGAGGTGAATGCGCATTTGTGGACAACCAGCTTGGCTTTGTTGTGTGTTGCGCCCATTCTCTGGCTGTAAACACCATTATACTTTCCACATAACATTGTTGATAAATTGCTTTGAACTATGGCTTCGAGATGTTTTTTAACAATTTTTCGTTTATACCTTGCTTAAATGATTAAGTATGCTTTTTCAGCTCCCCAGTCAAAACTCAGTAAACGGAGCTAGCATTCATCGCTACAAAACTATTTTGTTACAGAAAGAGGATCTTCTTGGCACGCTATCAGCTCTGAGTCCGCAAGTCCACCAAGCCCTCGTTTTATCGTCACTCCTGTAGACGCGGAAGGGTGAGAAAAGTGTTAGTTTTTTTCTAATCGTACTTATTGTATGTGTTTAACCTTCAGCACCAGCGAACGTGATTCTCCTACGGATCCGATTCGAGATTCTCTCGGTTCTATTTCTGCAGCTTCTGCATCTCACAGGTATTTGAATGAGATAATTATTGTTTATCACGTTAGGAAAAGTGACAATAGGATACACAAATGCGCATTATTTGCCACACGGCCTATTAAAGGCACTGTTTATTATGACGAGAGTCCGCGTCGCATGATTGTCTCGTGATTAACTTTATTACGAGAGGGTTGCCATTTTCGCCCGTTCTCGATCAGCCTTTTCTGAATTCCTAGCCTTCTTCCACTCTCTTCTAGACGATTTAGGGATACTAAATGATGAAATTACACGTGAAATGTTTAGATCATATTCTGTCATTGAGCATACACCCTTAGTTGGAGCATCGGAGATATGACGACTACCTCTTATTCATAAGTTAATTCTGACTCGATAGTTTTTTTTTGTGTTGGCGATCGCTTGATGAAAAAAGTTTTTTCCGAATTTTCATAAAAATCCGTGCCCCCTCCAGATTACACAAGTTCAGAGTTACCTAGGTCCTTTCCTGTTGTTCCTTATTTCTCTTGAATTTTTGGCGTGTCTGTTCATACTGCAGCCGTAAATGACAAATGTCAATCGAACAATCATTTACTCCAGAAAAATAAACGGTGTTGAGTGCGAAATCCCGCCTTCTCCATTATTTTTGCTCCGTTCCACTCAACTCTCAGTGCACAATTCAAATACTCCATGAAATTCTTAGCATATTCATAGAAATTCCAGTGTTTTGATGCGGATTGTTCCCTTCTACTTGTTCGTTGCTGAAGTTCTGCAATGGGGTAAATATGAATTTACACTAAAGCCTTGATAATACCACCTTATCATCAACGTCTGGTCCCAACGTGCCTATTAGAAACACGTGATTGTTTTTCAAAAGTTCAGGTGCGGATTTAGGTGTTCGTTCTGTCACTTTATTTCTTTTCAGTCGTAGTCCATCTGGCAGTGCAAGTTCACTAGCAGTATCCGTGTCATCCTTCGGTGTAGGTGGTGCCGTGCATCGTTCGCACACACTGTCACCGCCATCTCCTATCGGCTGTGGTAGCACTCAATCAACTCCAACACTGGGTGCAAGCAGTCGAGTTGTCCAATCTACCAGTATGCAATTCGGTTAGCAGAACATTGAATTTTTCCTTCTGATCCCTGGTCATTGTTGCCCAAGAATACCAGTTTCCTATTACAATGCAACTGCAATCGTTTAAGGTGTGCAACGATCGCCGAAACCGTCGCGACTTGTGCATGCCATACCACACAAGTGGACTAAAACAACGAAGTTCCGTTTGAACAGCGATTCTGGTGAGTTGTTCATGAATCTTTCCGGCTTTTTGTTGAGTCTTTCATTTATAGTCTACAATATGTATAAGAGGCAGTTAAGAAAATTAAGTTTGTCACTTAAATTAACTTTCACAGTTCTTTTGGGAAGTACCGGAGAACCTTGATTCCTTAGTTAAATTCGAAGTCCTGAGAATAGCTGAACCTAGGAAACCTTATGCGTGAAACATTCATTCAAGTTTACAATGCTTTTTGCAGTCTGTCACTTCTGTCAACGGCCGCTCGGTTTCGGTTTTTTGCACGCCTGGGAAAAGTGCAGATCATGCAAGTAGGTTTGATTTATTTCGTCCCTACTTTTTCAATTTGGATCTGGCGTATTTTGTAATATACAGGTGGAAAGTGCATACGCATTGTCGGAGTCGCATAGGAGATTCGTGTGGCCTCACCCCTGAACACTTACGAATCCTCTTCGACAAACTTGTGCAGCAGAACAACGGGGTAACTATGTGATCAGTTTTTTTGTTGGGTGAACAACTTTTTTGATATGCGGTCATTCCATCACTAATACTTCTTGTTTTAAGTTTTCATATCTCGTCTAGTCTGTTCTTTTTTTGCTGAAAGTAGGATTAGGACATTTACCCCAGTATTACAACTCATACCGTTTTTCAGGACATTTGGAATGACCCACAAAGCGCTGTGCCAATGTCTCGCTCGTTGAATGAACCAGCTTTCCAATACCCAGATTCAGGGATGGGGATTGGTGATAGTTCATCATCAACGAATAGCTCTGCTCCAAGCACTCCGGCGCTTCCACTTGGTGAGTAGTTGACAATCAATGAGCATTCGAAGATCTTTGAAAAATCTGTTGGATTTAACAGGACTCAGCTATGCAAATAGCCCGTACGCTCTTGCGACAGCTCCATCACGGAGTGGTGAACGGAAATTCACTTTTCCCGATGCGGTGCCTGAAGTTCCAGACATTGTGCTGCCTGACATGAGGTAAGTTACTAATATTCATATCCGTATGAGAGTATTTGGAATGATCCCACTTTTTTGCTCATTCATTTTATTTCAGCGATGGTGAAAGCAAAACATCAGGTTGGCCAAGCTCCAGTTCAGATTTTGGTGAGGGTCCATCTTCGCTGAATACGAAACATGGTGAGGGCAGTGAGGGGACCGTCATTGTGGATTCCATCGGCAGCGCTGGAGTGAGCTCTTGTCCATATCCGTTAGCTAAATTTAATATAATTGCATAATAAAATATTTTTCTATTAGCTTCACTGTTTGCTCACTAGCGCTTGTAAGTTGTTATGTTTTGCAATGTACTTTACCGTTACAGACTGACACAGCTCTCTCCGACAGTTCCACTGGTGGGAGATCACCAGGTGGACATACGTGGGATCGAAATAGATGGAACATGAGTACAATTCGAGGTCCTAATGCACAGGTTTGTTCTATCTGA